TCTGATCAGGGATCAATTTCCAAAATTTATAAAGAACTTAACACAACTCAACACTAAAATAAATAAATAAATAAATAAATCACAATTAAATAATGGGCAAAGGACTTGAATAGACACTTCTCTGAAGAGGACATACAGATAGCCAACAGACATAAAAATATACTCAGCATTACTAATCATGAGAGAAATGCAAATTATAACCTCATGCCTGTCAGGATAGCTATCATCCATAAATCAACAAACAAGTGTTGGCGGGATGTGGGGAAAAGGGACCCCTCCTGCACTGCTGGTAAGAATGTGGACTGGTGTAGCCATTGTGGAAAACAGTATGGGATTTCTTTAAAAAATTAAAAATGAAACTGCCTTTTGACTCCGTGATCCCACTTCTCAGAATGTATCAGAAGAAACCTGAAACATTAATTCTAAACAATATATGCACCCCTATGTTCATTGCCGTGTTATTTATAATGGCCAAGTTTTGGAAGCAGCCCCAGGGCCCATCAGTAGATGTGTAACTGAAAAGGCTGTGGTACATTTACACCATGGAATACTACTCAGATATAAAATTAAAAAAAAAAAAAAAAAGGAAATCTAACCTTTTGCAACAGCATGGATGGTCCTGGAGAGTATTTTGCTAAATGAAATAAGTGTTCAGATAAAGACAAATACCATACGATTTCATTATATGTGGAATCTAATTGACAAAATAAACTAACAAACAAAATAGAAACAGACTTATAGATACGTAGGACAAACTGACAGCTATCAGAGGGGAGAGGGGTTAGGGCACTAGCTGAAAAGGTGAAGGAATGAAGAAAAAATAACAGACATATGGCGATTGCCAGAAGGAAAGGGGATGGAGGAAGTAGAAGAGGGCAAAGGGGGAATAAATAGTAGTATCCATACACTAAAATTCATAGAACTGTACACCAAAAGAGTCAATTTAACTGTATGTAAATTTTAAATAATAAATTAATAAAAGTAAAAAAAAATCTATGTCAAAAAAAATCTATGTCAATAGAAGAGAACTTATTGGGCAGGAAAACTGTAAACTAGGTTAAGACAATTTGCTATATAATTTACAGATTGATTTTTCAAGAATTGGTTTACATAAATAAATAAAAGCTGCCCTAGCTAGTATGGCTCAATGGATAGAGCGTCGGTCTGCAGACCAAAGAGTCTCGGGTTGAATTCTAGTCAAGGGCATATACCTCAGTTGGGTTGATTCATTAATATTAACCATACCTCAGTACCCATCTTTTAGCCATCAGTAGACCAAGTAGGCTGAATATGAGTTAGGACATAGAAGAAATGAATAGCACTATCAGCAAAATGTATCAAAATGACATTTAAATAGCACTCAATTTAAAAAAAAAAAAAAAAAAGTACAGAATACATAGTCGTTTTAGTGCACATGGAACATTCACCAAGACAGACCATATTCTAAATACAGTTCTGAGGATTCTCAAAAGATTAGGTTATAGGCTCCTCCGCAGCCCAGGCCCTTGTCAGGAAGCATGCAGAAGGCAACCAAGAGATGTGTTTCTCTCACATTGATATTTCTCTCTGTCTTTCCCTCTCTTCCACTGTCTCTAAAAATCAATGAAAAATATCCTTGAGTGAGGATGCAAGATAAATAAAAACTACTATAACTTATAATAAATAAGATTTTTAAAAATATTTTGATAGCACTCTCTAGAACTATTGTTTTAATCTTAGAAGTCAAGATACTAACTTTCCAATTCCTTACAATTATACATTTTTATTCCCCATGAGTTCCCCACAAAACCAACAACACAGAAAGGGAAGTCCAGGCATCTTCTCCCAGAACTTTTTGTTTCTCCCAAATGAAAGCTTTTGTAGAGCCACAGACTAAGTAACATAAGTCAATTTAGTATTATACACAGAGCCAAAATATATTTCCATATTGGCTGTGTCGTTTGCTTTCCTTTAGCAATGTTGGTATGTTTCTAAATCTTCTCATATTGCTCCAGAAAGAAAGATTTCACCTTCAGATTGGGGCTGAGGGGATGAAGGAAGAGTAGAAAAAAAGATTAAGAAAAAGACTTTGGAAAGGAAGTAAAAAAGAAACTTAGGAAAAGGGATATTTTTGCCTCAGCCTTGTGCCCCAGCTTAGTTTCTTTAACCAGTATTTAGGAATATATAATACTTATAGAGAAATTAATATGTTTATACTTTATTCCTCATTTAACTCATATTAATTTTGTATAATTCCTTTACAGGAAAGAATAAATGAGTGATATGCTTCCAGTAACTGAATTCTAAAATGATAAGCATTCATGACCCTTCACCATTAAGGTCTGTAAAAATTTGTGTGCACAAAATTAAATTTGTGTGCATCCAAAATTACAAAGTCTATGAATGGTACATGAAGGGGGGAAAGTGTAGAACTGAATTGTCTGCCTTGTGCAAATTGAGAAACCCCCAAAGACTCTGCCCAACTTTAGCTCTGTAGCTTACAATGTGTAAACTAACCTAAACATGAGAATGTAAGAATATGTCATACCATATGATAAGATTAAATTCTAACTAGAGTTATATAAAGTCCTATTCCATTCTGTCCTCATTCCATTGCACTTCTGGACTGAAACTTGCTCCATGAATCTCTGTCACTTTTTATTTTTGCCTTTAATGTAGGCAAAAAAGGCAGCAGAACCATTCAAAGAATAAACAAACCATGAGGCAAGACCAGAACTAGACCTCAAGGTTCTTATTCCCCTGTGCTAAAATTCAAAAAGCTACACTCTGTTTTGAAGTGCACAGTACCCACTGACTCAATTTTATAAACAGCTCATTGTTAGTCACATCTTATGACTTTTGGAGTGATTACTACATATTCCTGGACATTAGGCTGGTTTGGAGAAAGAAGTGCGGGCATTTTCCTTGACTAGTACAAAACATTTGGATCCCCAGATATAGAGGTTGTAATGCTGAAGAGTTGGCAGAGTTCAAAATCAACTCATTGTTCTGATTTTCTTTCAGAACAGTATCACTAAATGAGTTAGAAGACATGATCAGTAGATGAGAAAATAAGTTGACATTTGTATCACACTTTTCCTATTGCCCCCAAATGCTTATGATTTTTCAAGAGAAACTCAATAATGAATTACTCAAAAAGTGTCTCACATATCTTATCCAGGTCAATTTATGCCATCTCTGACAGGTATGAATAACTTATACTTTTTCCATAGGGGGAAAAAAACTAATTCAAAACTTAGGAGAAAAAATGGAAAAGTAAAGCCCTATCCAAATAGTGGGCTACTTTTAAGCCAAATCAATCAACTGCAGAAATTTCCAGTGCTCATTACACAATCCTTTACCCACATGCTTTCAGAAAATGCCCAGTTAGCATCATCCAATAACCCTAACTCTGGACAACACCAACCCATCCCCCACTTTGGAAATGGAAGGATACTTCCCCTTGGCTACATCTGACCTTGAACCAAAAAGCAGCTATCTCTGGATCTGGTGAGACATTTTTTCAGGAAGATAGGCTTTGAGCTGAGGCTGGCAAAACTATCTGGAATCAGCCTCCCTGGGGTCAGTAAAATAGGGATGATATTATTTACTTCAAAGGGCAATAAATATAAAGATCAAATCAGTTAAGGGTATGAAAGTGCTTTATGAAGGGTTAAGTAATTTACATATTCATCAAAGAGCTGTTGTTTTCCAGTTTCAAAGACCCCAGGTTGATTGAATGTCCTTCACTAGGCAGAACACTTTCTTCACTTTATTTATTTATTTATTTATTTATTTATTTATTTATTTATTTATTTATTTATTGGGGGTGGGAGGTGCTCACTGGCTTTTCTCTAAGTTATTCATTCTTCTGAGTCACAGATGTGGTATCAAAACTTACAGAAACTCATCCCTGCCTTCCCAGCTAACATCCTAATTTGTGGGGGAGGGATTGCAACTTCCTCTGTTCGGTTTTCCTAAGGAATATTTGAAGTCCAGACTCAATTCTTCCCTTTTAAAAATACCTTTCCTCTGAGGCTGGTCTCCTCCACAGACAAACTCACACGCCCATGGGCACAGCAAATGCAAAACAACCTTTCAAATTAAACTATGACATAGTTAAAGAGTTCCAGGCCCCTCTACTCTTTCCCCTACTCCCCGCTTTGCCCACAGCAGTCTTTGATGAAATGGAGGCTAAAATTTAAGAAGGGGGGGTGAGGGAAGAAAGACTTCATATCTATCCCTAGAGAGGGCTTGGTATGTTACCAAAGGCCAAGCTTTCCCAGCTTTCCCTAACTCCTCCTGACCTCATCTAAAACACACATCCACGACTCCATACACACACACATGCTCGTAAGCCAGTCCAAAGCAGATAAATCTGACTTCCCCAACTTGTAGCCACAGATAGCAGCAAAGTGACCCAAGTCTTTCACTGCCAACTTCCAAAAGACACTGCAACGGCCAGCGACGTCGCAATAGCAGTCTCTGTGCTGCAGCCTTCAGCCGGCCAGAGTTTCAGGGCTAATTCCTTAAGGAGTGTTGCTCTTCTCCCCAGAGTCCCACTCCCCTGTGCTTCACCCACTTCTCTCCTCGGGAGGTCAGGAGGAACCGGATCACTTGGCACTTCTGTAGAGCGGGAAGTTCAGGGAAGGAGTTTCCCACCCAAGTAGCCTAAAGCCCACTACTCTTTGCCCCCGGTCTCCACCCTCCTGCCCACGCAGGCGCCTGTGCGGCTGGCAAAGGTGCCAGTTCTCAAGGTGCCTGAGCTCGCATGGGATGTGGAGTATCTAAGCAGGAAGAACAGCGACGGGACGATGGCTGGAGATAGAGGGTAAATGGAGCAGGACTAGGGAGAGGGACCAAGACTCCTCATAGGGGCACTCTCTGACCCCTCTCTCACAGACTGCAACTCCCAAATCCACAGATGGGCATTAAGGTAAAGGCCTTCCCTCCCTACCCTCTCCCTTCGCTTCCCCACTCCCCGCCTGGACACCAAGTGAAAAAGCAAGGTCCGGGTGTACCTGGAGCGAACACCATGATTTCCTCCAGCCGTTACGCCCCTAGGTAAAGACAGACAGACAGGAAGGCCAGGACTTGGAAGGGTCCCAGTGCAGCTGCGCGTGCAGGGCGCGGGCCGGCTGCGGGCCGGGGCGGTCAGCACCTCGGACAGCTCCCTGCCGCGCGGTCCCGAGCTGAAGCTCCAACCGCTGCAGCGCGCTCAGCCTCCACAATGCACTGCTCCGCCGGCGGCCACAGCGGCGGCGGGAGGAGGAGACGGAATCCCCACTCGGTTCATCCCTCATTACTGTGCCAGCTCAGCATACTTAGCTGTTTAGAGAGCAAAGCACTTCTACAGCTTCTACCGGAGAAGGACCGAAGAGGAAGAGAGAAACAGGTAATTGCCCGGCTTCCCGGCAGGAGGACAGCTAATTGCTTCCAATTTTACCTGCTGTCACTAAGCCCCGATCCGATATAGGACTGATATTTTGAATTGGTTTGTCCTTTCCTTTTCCTTCCTTCCTTCCTTCCTTCCTTCCTTCCTTCCTTCCTTCCTTCCTTCCTTCCTTCCTTCCTTCCTTCCTTCCTTCCTTCCTTCCTTCTTTCCTTCCTTCTTTCCTTCCTTCCTTCCTTCCTTCTTTCCTTTCTTCCTTTTTTTTTTTTTTTCCAACGCAAACAGCTTTCCTCTCAAGGCGGCTGAGTTCTTCTAGTTGGACTGGCTCTGAACAGAGTGGTGAGACCTCCAAGTTAATCAGTCTTGGGCCCAGAGTCCCAGTCTTGTGCTTCTATAAAGACAGCAGGAAGGAAGGACAGGGTGACTATGAAGGCATGAGAAGGGCTTCGCTATCAGGCCTTGTTCCCAGGCAGAAGATCTGGCTCTAAAAGCTCCTAAGCTTAGAGACCCTCAAGATCATCACTTTAGAGAAAGCAGGGCCCCACCAGGAATTGGAAAGAGACCTTGGTGAGGCTGGTCTCCTCCACAGACAAACTCACACACCCTATGGAAGGAAGAGTCAAAGAGTCCCTTGCAAGTGTGAAAACAGCCCTAAAACCCATCAAGAAGCATTACTGCTTCCCATAGCTTTACCCAACTGAAAACTATGCCCCCCATGCATACACTCAGTTCTACTCTAAGATACTGGGACATACCACCGCACTCACTTCACGCTTCTAATCTTTGCTCACTTAAAAGCTCTATCTAGTTCCCCCAAGAAATGCTAGTAACATCGGCCAAACTAGATATTACCCAGCTTGAAACAAGTACATCTGAGTTATAACCTCAATGCTAAAAGTGATACAGGACCCTCCAGCCTCAAGGCAGATGTCAGTTGCTCTAGGTTTAATCCTCTATCTTCGCAGTTGAATGGAGTTTTACAAGAACAAGGGGTGATCAGAGTCATCTCCAGTGTTTTATAGGGTTTCTTCACTTGCACTTCTCCCTGGACAATATAGTTATCCTAAAAATACAGTGTTTCTTAATAATTTGATTGGTGGCCATCAGTTCAACATACTTTTGGAAAATATAAAGCATTCAAATAGCCTTATTGGAACTGGTTTTGTTCCAAGCCATCTGATAGATGGAAATGGCAAATAGTTTTACAGCTCTTGAATCACAGTTTGCCTGGAGGCATATGAACAGCCTCAACATAACATAATCAGTACTGCTCTTAGCACCTGGCTCAACACAGGCTTGAACAGATGGGACCTGCCTCAACAGCAACAAGATGCAAATCAATTGATGGACAGATGAAGTGTGGGCATAACAAGATGCAGTCTGCTCATTTTCCCAAGTTACACCAAAAGCCAGGGACCAATGGTGCTTCACTCTGTCTTATATGCTTTATCACCATAAGTGTGAAACACTATTTGAAATAATCTTTGAATGAATGAAAGACCTTCCTTTAACACACTCAACAGGGCTCTCCTTTACAATGTATTTTGTAATGAGCTTTATTTTCCTAATGTAAAAACAATCATTCATGATTAAGCTCAAGAAAAAGCAACAAAGTGTAGGGAAAGGAAAAATAATTGGAAACCAGTAATATTCAAGTACAACTTTTTCACCATGTACTAGTTGTATGTTCTTAAAGTACTCACCTGCAATATCGCCAAGGTTTGTTGTTGGGATTAAATGTAACAATGGGTTGATTAAGAGAGAGCACAATGCCAAAACCGGTTTGGCTCTGTGGATAGAGCATCTGTCTGCAGACTGGAAGGTCCCAGGTTCGATTCTGGTTAGGAGCATGTACATTGGTTTTGGGCACATCCCCAGTAGGGGGTGTGCAGGAGGCAGCTAGTCAATGTTTCTCTCTCATTGATGTTTCTAGCTTTCCATCCCTCTCCCTTCCTCTCTGTAAAAAATCAGTAATAAAATATATTTTAAAAATAACAAAAATTAAATTTAAAAAAATTAAGAGAGAGATAGAGAGAAAGAGAGCACAACCTCAATTAAACCCATTCCAGGAAATTACTGATACCCTGTAGATGACACACTACAAGAATATGGTAAAGCAATACTTCTCACACATGAATGTGCATATGACTCCCACTGGAGATCTTGTTTAAATGCAGATTATGGTTCGGTATAGCAGGGTGGGGTGGGGCCTGAGATTCTGCATTTCTAACCAGTTCCCAGGTGATGCCCATGCTGCAATTGCTGCTTGTTCAGAGACTATATTTTGAGTAGCAAGGTATTATAGGTATCAGCATTTAAAAAGAAATAAATTAATCACATCTCCTTCAATTTCAGAGTGCATCTTCCTGTTATATAAGGAAGGAATCCAGATGGATTCCCGTAGACTTCCAAGCTAGACAGAGGCCTAGATAGTAGTAGAAGGGAAAAAATGCCTTTAATTAGCCTCCTAAGGCAATAGGATGTAATATGAACTAGTAAAAACCAGTTCAAGGACCGAAGAGAAAAACTCTCTGTAAGATCCATCCTCACTTAGTCTCTGAACTTCCATCATCACTTCCTCCCATTGCCTCTTCATTTGCTCCAACACACTACTGCTACTCAGCCAAAGGACAATATCCTCCTAACTCAGCTTTTGCTTATTTATATTTTAATAAGAGCAATTAATTTTACTCCCAATAAAATCAAGGCACATTAATATTTTTTAACTTACAGTTTAATTTATCAGTAAATTTTATATTCAACCATATTCCCTTGGAATGGGTTCCATGTCAAAGCCCATTCTGTCTCCCAAGGATATCTGCAATAAAAATATATCCATTTTAAAGTGCTATTTCAAACCCATAGGTTATTTATCCATCAAGCTCCTGTAGCTTATGAGTCTCACAAGTCTTTTTAGTGTGACACCAGGGAGACTCTTATTTCCTGACTCACAGTTTGAGTCACTGTAAATGATCCCCTGATGAGAGTGAGCAAGTGATGAAGGGTAGATCCTGGACAACAAAAACAATCATTTATTTGATAGGCACACTGTCCTTTGTCATAATTGCATTTAGCAATTGCAAATACACTCTGATTAACTCCTCACAGACAGAGGCATGGTTATTCATTTGCTTGCCTAAAGAAGTAGCTGTTTTGAAATATTTCTTATTTAATTTTTCTAAAAGAATTTTTTGAGTCAAATAAAAAATAACCTCCAATTAGTTCTCATAAATGACAGCTTCTGTTTAGACCATCTCTTTTAATATCTTCAACTACTATTCTAAAATTATCAAGTGTCTTATGGGAATGGAAAAGATTATGTTTCAGAAGGTGTTTTGGAAAGGCAAAGCTACTTCCGCCTTCCAATGTCTGCATGTCTATCCACTCATTCAAGAGAACTTACAGTGGAAAAAAAGGAATAACCTTACTTTTGAAAGATTAGAAGCTCAGTGTAGGCATGCCACTGCAGGATCATATTTGATTAAGCGAAGCCTTCTCTGTTGGCATTGTCTATCATAGCATTGGTGATCCATGCTCAGAGGTGTGTAGAGTTAACAGAAAGTGTGGAATGTCTTCAGAAACATTCTAAGATAAGTGGTAGAAATTTGACCTGGCAACAGCTCATATCCAAGTGTTTAACTGAATATTCATCAAATAAGTGTTGTAAATCAATTGTTCAGAAGTTGAAATGGATTTTTTTCTGGACTAACTGCATGGCAACTGAAATGTGGTTACTACAGAATAACCACCTTCCAACAATTTCTGAAACTGTTCCTTAATTGGATTATTATAAGAACAAAAACACTTCTCTGAAGCCATTCTTCAAAATCCTGAAGTATGTATTGCATCACAATTAGATTAGCATTGATGTTCTCAGATTTGGGGAAACTGCCTAATTAACATTATGTTGTAGTGGATTTATGTTTAAATTTGAATTTATCTGAGGCATACAAACAAAACCAAGACCATAATGTGAAATGTTAGTGACAAGTCTGAGGAGATAAACTGTGAATCTTTATTTCTATCATTGATTCAACTTTCTATATTGGGTCACATATTTAGTTGATATTAAAAATGGTAACCTACTTAATTTAAATTTTATGAGACAGGAACTGGGTATAGGGAGCAAGGAATGGAAATTGAGGGTATCTATAATACTCAACTATAAAAATAAATTTAAAAACATTTAAATTTTAAATTATGAGGTTTATATCAAAACCATTTCACAAATGCACTTTTTTCTAATCTTCACCTAAGGATATGTTTTTATTGATTTCAGAGAAAGAGAAAGAGAGAGAGAGAGAAACGTCAATGTGAGAGAGAAACATCAATCAGTGCCTCCTGTATGTGCCCTGACCAGGATCAAAGCTGCATGTGCCGTGACTGGGAATCTAACTTGAAACCTTTTTGGTGCACAGGAGGACAATCCAACTACCTGAGCCATCCAGCCAGGGCCACATATGCACTTTGAAGATATAATATGGCTCACTATTTTAAGCAGTGAAAATGGTTTCATAATACAAGTTTCAGATTATACAAAGATGTGGACTTTATTGCTACATGGGAATTACATTTAAATTTTATGTAAAGCAAAAGTGCACCTGTTGTTTGTTGATTTATTAATGGTAGCCATTCTGGGAGGTGT